TCCATCACATTGAATGTTAACAATTCCAAGAATCAAGTGTGCATTTTGGGACATCAGATACATGAATTTTTTCTAGAATTTTGAATACCTATGTTGTAAATTAATTGTCTCTTTAATTTACACACGTCTATTGCTCTCCCTGAGGTTTCTTCCCATTTTTCTCCATTAACTGTGGGGTTTCTTTTGGAAGTTTTTCCTTGTCCTATTTGGAGGTCAAAGGACAGAGGGTGTCGTATATATATTCATATTCTGAGTGTAAAGCCCCCTGAGGCATATGTAAAACGTGTGATATTGGGCTGTATAAATAAACTTTGATTGATTGATTGAGAGTAACACCATATATATAAATCAATATGCGTACTTCAGGTGCCTTTTACAGAAGCTCCTCTCTGAGTAGTTTCTATTATTTGAAAGGGAAAATACCAAAGAGGGCGACTAAAAAAACGATATTGTTACCAAGAGCTCCTGGTTTGTGTTACCCTCCCCTAGCTGGGTCGTATCACGGACGAATAGTGGATTTCTGATTCTGAAATCACTGTTTTAAATACAGCATGGATACGAAAGCACAATTGAGTGAAGTAGCTCAGGTTCTATTAACAGACGCCTTGTCTTTATAAACATAGTATGTTCCAGTTGGTTCTGCCTAGTTTAACTCCTCGTATGGCGGCAGTAATATTTTACGAGGTTCTTAACCTTTAGAGAGTGTGATATGATCTGTCAGTGTCACCTGTTGACAGTGGGGTGTTGTATTTTTCTCTGTTGATCATGGTGATGATGTCAGAGCAATAAAAGTGTATTTTATTCTTGTTGATAATGTCCTTGTTATTCTACTTGACTACAGTCTCCAAACAAAACAGTCGGGGCCATTACAAATCTACTTTACGCACACTTCCTTCATTTTCCAATTGATAGTTTTATGATGAATGCATTCGTGTTTGTATAAAGGAAGAACAATTCAACAGGTTTCTTTGCATACATCGAACGGCATACATCTTGAGGAGGACATTAATGGGAATCAAAACAGAAACAGATGCTTTATGAACTGCTGGGATTTCAAGAATCTGAGATTTAAAGACTCACTTTCCAAGCCCTTGCTCACCCCACCTGTATTCTTTTAAACCTAAGGGTCATAAGGGTTGCTGTAAGGAGAAAGAAACCAGGATTTTAAAATGTGTCAGCGACAAAAGCTAAAGCACTACACAGTGTGACTGGTGCAATGATGATATATTTTGTAATCCGACCAGGAGGTTAGCATCGAAAGGGCTCCCTCAACAAAAAGTAATTTTCCATTGGATTTTAGAATATTGCAAAAATACAATCTGTGACAAAGACACGCTTATGCTACTTAGACGTTTTACTCAGCAGGATAATCTCCACATATTTACACCACTTTATGATTTCGAAGCATAAAAACAATCGCTAACGTAGCTAAACGGTAAGCTAAAGGCGGCTAATGTTCAGCATGATGACATGTACTAGTCTCATTTAGTTACTTGTTAGCTGCAGTTGCTTTTATGACACATGAAAGCTTCGGACATTCACCAGTGGGGTTTATGCTCACGTATTTTATGTCCTATAAGAAAACGTGAAAATCCCTTCATGTTGTGTTAACCACAAACATAATCCAACATGTTCAAAAACTGTTGACTTTGAGACTAAGAAACCCGAAGTGGTAAAAATGCAAAGTCCTTTCTTGGTTTTAGGACTCATTCCTTTACTTCTAATTAAAAATGATAATAGTTTGGGAGGTTTTTATTATTATTATTATTTTAAAGAGGTCGTTTAGAATATTATTATTACGTTATTTTGAAGTCCTCATTATTAAGAATACATCATTATTACAATAACATTTCTTTGAAGGTTAATTATTATTATTATTATTAATATTACTTGTATAATGGTGTCCTTGCAAGACACTTCACCCGAATTTGCTCCTGTGGGTATTGTCCAGAAAAGCGCTCTAATAAAAATGCTCATGAATTATTATTATTATTATTCTCTTCTGCTTGCATCAGTTACAGGTCCAGGTAACTTAATGGAGACTGGAGGTGTACAGCGTCTGGTAAACACCAGCTTTATGACGACTCTTTATAACACATATGAGAGCCTGCAGCTGCACTGACACACTTTTCCTATCAGTTTCCAATGAGTTTTTCCAGTCCGATGGCGCATAAACACCAAACACAGTCTTTCAATCATTACTTTGGATCTATGACTTTTATGCGAGACATTCCAAAAAATATTGTGTTTGCATTACATCACCTTCGCTAACCTCTCCCCCTGAGGAACATCAGACCAACGAGCAATAACTTAACGTCGTGTACTGGTGCAGAAATATGAGGAGAATGAGATGCAGCAGTGTACAAGTCTGCAGGCATTTGATGATTACGTCTATAATTCTGCTGGTTTTGACTTCCCAGAATGTGCCTTCAAAATATACGAGTTATCCTTCACTTGCGGTTCTGTTAATGATGACTTTGTGCTAAAGGCCTTCAGAAAAAGATGATAAATTAAGAATTGAGGAACAATTACAAGACCACAGTTGATTTGTGTTTAGGTACATCTTGCTCTCAAAGATTCATGGCTGTAAATATTCGTATCGGGTTCGCACTCGTAACTCAGAAGACTCGAGAGCAAAGCTTTTTGGGATGCTTTGGCGGAACAGAGGGGGTTGTGTAATCCTCTAAATTCTACAGCTGAGCAATGTTCAAATAGCACATAGCTCACATTTTCCAAACACTTCCAAACTTAAAGACGATTTATCTTTTTATAACCAAATATCAACGTGAAAGTGGATACTCAATGATTTCCAGCTTTACAGAACAGAAAGGATTATCAAAGGTCAAAACGGCTGAGGCAAGCCCAGGTTAGCACCTATCTGTCGCTAAAGGTGGCCATATCTTATATAATGTGACTTTAAGCCTTAATATTATAAATTAGTTACTATACTTCATATATCTGGAACAATCTTCCATACAACTTTAGGTCTAGTGCAACTCTCACTTCGTTTAAATCCAGGCCGAGGATTCTCTGTACTCTTGTATTTTCTTACTGTGACATGTTTCTTTAATGTTCAAAAAGATATTTTTCTGATATACAGTATAGAGACAAAAACTGTTTTTTGTAGCAAGTTGTACATTTCTGCTATACAAGCATGATAAATGACAGGTTTATGTGAATTGACACATTTTTGGCTTTGTGTTTCCATTTGAGGAACTCCAGTTGCACCGCTCGTCCAAAAACAGCTGAAAGAGAGTGAGTAGTGGACTGACGTTTCATCATTTCACAACGTCGTGTTTTGCTCTCTGCTGCAACAACTGGTTTCAGAACATGTTGGAATAAGTGCGTTTGTATACTGTATATGATTGTGAAATAAATCTGTCATGAATATCAACACTACAGAATAAATTCAGTTCAATCTGCAAAGTAGTTTCACAAGAGCAACATTTATTAAAATCAATGATATTTTTGTTCTCGCGAGCATTTGACATCAAATGTACACAATATACAAATGGTGCATTTTGTAGCAAATATACTTTCTATAGAGACAGCAGCAGCAGAATTGGCATGTACAAAAATACACATTTGATTTTCTCACACAACAAAACATACCAAAGTATCAGGATAAGATTTCATATATATATTTATATATTTCTGTATCATAAATATAGCAGAATTATACAAGTTAAACAGAATTCACTGTAATGGAGATAACATTTAAAATATTAATACAGGATCAAATACATTTTGAGATCATTTAAAGTGGTACCGCTTAACATGACCTTATTGCAGTGTGTGCCCTTAGGGAAGCTATGACGAGCTCATAATAACACTGGGTTTAAACTTGTGAATACTGCTCCTACATTGTGCTATGAATATGTATTTGTAAGTATGTTCTTTCTGTTGATGAATGCACAGTGAAATAAGGTCATTTATTGTTAAGTGACACCGTAGAAATCATCGCAATGACTGCAGCACTGGAACAAAAATATTATACAATTATGGACAAACCATACAACAGTTAAAAGATACGTGTGGAGTATTAACACACACACACACACACACACACACACACACACACACACACACACACACACACACACACACACACACACACACACACACACACACAGGCTGTATCATTGTCATTCTGGTGAGACTGAAAAGGTTTCTTTATAGAATAATGAAGTGCCATACAAGCAAGAATAAAAACACATTTCTCCTTCAATGGCACGCATTTTCTCACATTCCTGCTCAGGACACAGTTTCAATGAACACACCATTTGCAACAACATATTGACTTTCTTTTACGCACCCACTCTCTCACACACACACACACACACACACACACACACACACACACACACACACACACACACACACACACACACACACACACACACACACACACACACACATATTGATAGCTCCTCTTCTTCTTCCTCCTCCCTCCCTCCTCTGCCCAGGTCACAGAGATATAAACCAGAGCTGCAGGACAACACTGTGTGCTGTGTGTCTGGAAACTCGGCTCACATGAATAAATACCGGCCCTATTGATTCACTGATTCACACGGACAAACGCTTCACTCACTGGGGAAAAATGTTCCACTTTACAGAGGCAACTTGTCATAAAAGATACACATTTGAAGGCGTTTTCAAATGGGTACAGGGTTGGTAATTCTCTAAAACGTTGTGGATGACATTCAAAGTCATTTCATAGTATTTGCATGAAGTCACAGTTGTCATAATGCTCACGTTTCCTTATAAAAAAAACTTTGATTTGCTTCTTTCTAAACAAGAAAAGTGCGAAGACTACAATAATATACAGTAAAGTCTGAAGTTCCAAGAACATTTTGCCAAATTTTAAATCAATTTGATTAGTTTTTCTGTTAAAAGTCATGGCCATAATTTCCCACCAGTCTCAAGGGGTTTTCTGCTGGCTGGTAAAAATATGTTTTCTTTTGAAAAGCCTCAAGCGAATGAAACAAAGCTTCTTTGTCCTTTCTCTTTCATTTCTGAGGAGCTCCTCTTCCTTCATTTCTTTTTAAAAAGCTTCATCACATTCCAAAACAAGGACACACTAAATACTTTTTAGAGGACCCAGATTTTTGTTGGTACTTGAGCTGTAACTCTGACTTGTTTTGACAGCAGCTTTAACGATTGTTTAGGGACCCAGATGTCCAATGAATCACATCTTGTCTGTATTGAATTCACAGAATCAAGCATTACTGCCTAATAATTAACCATTGTAGGACCCCTAGTTACAAAGCAACTTCATCAAATACATGAAAGAGGTATCAAAAATGAATTTAATGGATTATAACTAACGCCTTCAAAGTCTACTATTGACAGGGAGTCAGAATACATTTGAGTAGTGAACAACCACAAGGAGGCGAACAAGGTTCATCGGTACCTTTTCAAATCTAAAACCTTGACCGTACCACAAACTGCAACACCTTTTTGTTTATGGATGACTACCACTGAAAGGGGTGTATACGGGGGAACATTATCACAAAGTGAATTAAACAGATAAAAAACAGTTTCTTATACACAATCCGTCTGTACAGAGTTCCTTATTTACACGTATGACTCTTCTGCAAAAAAAAGCTGGTCAAAGTCTTCCGCCGGCGGGTCGCTGCAGCGCCTGCTCTGCCAGTCCCTCTTCCCCTGAACGATGGCCAGCGCCACCTCCTGACTCCTCCGCAGGCACGCGTCCGCATCCTCCTCACCCTGCTGCGAGGAGAAGTAGTCCCTTACAGCCAGGGTGGCGGAGGGAGACAGGCAGAAGCTTGGCTCGGCGTGGTTGGGCTCCACCTGTGACACCCTCAGGCCGCCATCTTTGGACCGGGCCTTAGAGGAGCGAGGTCTGTCCAGAGTGAGGCTGCAGGGGGGAGAGCTCGCCGTGACGTTGGAGGGTTCAGATGCTCTGCGGGGGTGAGGGAGCGTCCTTTGCCCTCTGTTTCCATCGAGGGCTATAGAGTGGGACTTTTGCTTCTTGAGGACCAGGGTGGTGGCGTTCTGCCCGTAGAAAACACCCTGTGGCGGCTGCACAGACTCGTTTCCAGCAGTGCTGTGTGTGACCTCACTTCCTGTGAGTAGTTTCTGGATGGATCTGTTGGTCGGGTCTTGGAGCTGCCTCAGCTCTCGGACCGTCAGAGGTTTCTCTGTCCCCCTGTAGAAGGGAGAGCGACTGCGCTGCAGCTGCATTAACGCCTGATGGTACGACGGAGGGCTGCTGGATCTACGCCCGCAGTTTCTGTTCACTTCCACCTCCTGAACGTCAGAGCAGCTGTTACCGTTTGTGTCTGTTTTCCCATTTGTGTCTGTTTTCCCGTTCACTTCAGGCTCCTCCGAGTGTCCATTATTATCAGAGTGCTTTAGTGACAGGCGGCGGTCCTTCTTTAGCCACGTGTTAGGGTGGAGGCCGTGATGGTGAGGGAGCGTTTGATTGGTCCTCATGCCCTGTGTGGGCCAAAGAGGCGGGGCTTCCCTCTGAGGCGGGGAGTCTCTCGGTGACAACGGAGGACGTCCAGGAAACAGAGGGGAGAGCGGTGGTGGCGGCTCGGCCAATGGATTTGCCCCATTGCTGGCGTAGTCAGTGGAGTACTGTGAGAAGGCGGAGTCTAACGAGCTGAGGGAGGAGCCTGTGGGTGAGGTCGCCGGTGACGACAGACTGGAGCAGCTGACATCCAATCGCAGCGGAGGAGGAGGGGCGTGTTTCATCTTCCTCCGCCCACCATTCTGCACTTTGGCTCCTCCTCCCTTCTCACAACCTTCCTCTCCCTCCTCCTTCAGCTGTAGTCCACTCACCCCCTGCTGCAGAAACACCTCTTCCTCCTCTTCCTCTCTCTCCATGGCAGCGTCGTAGCTCACCTTTCTCACCGTTAGATCTGCGTGCGGCATCAACGTGTCTGATGGAGGAGTGCTGGACAGGGTCAAGGCGGGCTCCGAGCTCCTCCTCAGTCTCCGGGGACCCTGCGACGCCCCGTTTGATTGGCGGGTTCGAGGCTGTCGGACCGCGGGACTGAACATGCGCGGCCTGGCCAGCGGGGGCAGCTGCAGCAGGTGGTCCGTGTCGGGGTCAGGGTCGGGGTCGCAGTCGCTGAGCGTGATGACAGAGTCTCGACTGAGGCTGTCCGGCTTGTCTTTGTCTCGAAGAGGAAGCTGCTCTTGGAAGGGAGACTCGGGGTCGTCGTTCAGCTCGTTCTCCAGACTGTCGTAGGACGAGTCGTTCATCTGGAAGGACGACACATCTGGGAAGAGATGAGGAGGAGGAAGATGGAGAAACAAAGGGGAGAAGAGAGAACGATTATTATCATGGAGAAGTCAAATTAAGTTCATGATCATTTAATCTAAAAATAAACAGAAAAACAATAATCTTGCAGACAAAATGCAGTCTTACTTAACCCTTGCATTTCACGTGAGATAAAGTAGTCCTTAAAAAAAACAGCTTTTCCAGACATGCCATTTCATTCAAGCATCCTGCAATTTAAGCTATTTCCTCCTACGAGCAACTCAAATTAGCAATCCAAGTTCAGACAGACCAAACTACATTTAGTAACACAACAACCTACACAAAGAAAAATAACTGCACCTCCCATAATATGCTTCTCTGTCATGGTAGAAACTAAATACACAAAGCTTTAAAAAAAAGTGGGACGAACTAAAAACATTGACCCGAGAAGAGAACAGAGGACAGTGTCGTCCCGCGGTGAGTCTTTGACCTCCCGTGGTTATTTATAGCATCAGGAAGAGAGTTGGTGCTATTTATGAATGAGGAGATTCAGCGCTGCGTTAATCAGCAATCACTGAAATGAGTGGAGGTCAAACTATTGACCCCAATCAGCAGGCCTGAACGAGCCTCACTGAGAGCTAGTCAGTGTACAAGCACCTCTCTACAATATTCTGAGGTGCAACACACAGAAGAGTTGACGGTTAAAAAGCACCTTCGGTCAAGGAGCTGTTTGATTAGGCCCTGAACCCCATTAGCACCTATGATCAATCATTGTTACCGTCTTAATCTTGCTTAATTCATGCTTCTCATTTTAGGGTTAGGCACATAATATCAACATGGAAGATATTACAGGTGCGCATATTTGCTTCACAGACCTATTTGTGCACAAATAAATAATGTTTTCCTCTGGTTGCAGCTTGGTGTTTATAATGTAATATTGGATATTTTGATCTTGTGCCCACGATATTTTTGAAATCATGATTGATGATCAAGTGGTTAATGGTAAATGGACTGTACTTATATAACGCTTTATCCAGTCGTTAAGACCCCTCAAAGCGCTTTACATACTGCATGTCATTCACTCATTCACACCCATTCATACAGAGCAGTGTACCTTACTCGAGGACAGGGATGGGCACATTTTTTATTTATTTTTTTATTTGTAGTACTGATACCGTCCACTAGACTCCTAATTACGTCGCGAGCTGCGTACACGATTTCGTTTGGCAGCCAAATACCACGAAATAATCTGTGACGCGTTTGTTGTATTGTGTTGCTTCCCGGAACACTCACAAGGATTACTGCTCCAAATATTACTTGAACGATATAACATTGGAAAAGGAAATTTGCGTGCTTCCAATTAGAGCTCTTCTCCTTTTCAAAGTTGTATTAATCATCTGAATTTGACGAAACAAGTTTAATATTCTGAAAGCCAAGACTTTGTTTATTTGAAATCAGATGAAAACAAACTGTCACGGACCCTGATGTGTTATCTATGATTACGATACACTTTTCATTCATAATTTCAGTCGGAGGGGGAGTGGCGCTGAGGAACAGCAGAGTGTCTTAGCTAGTTTCAAGTTAGACAACTACAATTACATACAATACATGCCATTTGTGTGTGTGTTCCAAGTGAATCTGCGGCCCCCTGGTGGCCAGTACATACATTATGTGCCCCCCCACCACCATCCAAGTTGCCCATCCCTGCTCTAGGACCTAACATTCACACACCGTTGGCCATGCCATCGGGAGCAACTCAGGGTTAAGTATCTTGCCCAAGGATACATCGAAATGTTGACTGCAAGGGCTGGGATCGAACCCACAAGACGACCGCACTCCCTCGCAGCCACAGTCGCCCTTAATCAAGCAAATATTGTAAAATATTCACATTTTTAGATGTTTCTTTGTTTCTGTTTTGTTCGTAATCCATCATCTCCACATGTGTGCAACAGTGCCAGTAAAGTGATGAAAGAGCGGAGCTGGGAATTTTTGTAGAAAGCCCCTTCTACAGACTTGGCCTCCATCTCTAAAACACATTTACCAGACTCATTCATTCCCTATTCATCTCCTTTCACACCCCTCTGTCTCTCCGTCTCACCTGAGCCGTGGTCACTGTTGCTGCTCTTCTGGCTGAAGCTCCTGAACAGCGAGGTCACGTCTTCTCCCAGCACCATGGTGCAGTTCTCTATGAGGAGGCGGACCAGCTCACACACCTGCAGAGAGAAACAGCGCCTGGTTATAGACTAAACACTTTGGACCTTTCTTTGCTTTCCCTGCAGCTGCTGACCGTTCACTTTCATTGTTAAACAGTTGGCTGAACGTGCAATTAGGTTATTGTTTATGCAGAGCTTCATTTGCTATTGCAGTTTCTCAGAGATCCAGCAACAAATCTGCAGAAATTCAGCAAAAATTAACACACACACACACACTCATATTTGTGTGTTTATGTCCCATATTATCATGCTGAGAAATGTTCCTCTTTGTTTGTTTCCACAGTATTCTGACCTTCAAACTACACAAGTATTTGCATTCCTCAGCACTGAGAAAACATCAAAATCCTGCTTCCCGCTCCTGGACAATGTCCTGATGATAATAAATGTATTAGCTTTGATTATCACTTGTTTGAATGTTTATTGAATGACCAAGAGAAACATATCCAATGTTTATAACAGTAGCTTTTCTAAAACGTATCATGTCTTATAAGATGATGAATGGTACTTTAAAAATCCTATTTAAGATCAAATACACGCAATCCCCGCAAAAATGCCACTAAGGGATCAAGACACTTTTTAAATGGCTTTTTTTTAAAGAGTCAGTTTAAGTAAAACATGCCGACAATGTCTGTGCTTTCAGGACATTATCCACAGTTGGAACCTGTCTTCAAAGAAATCACTTTACTCGACGGAAAGCACCATCTTTTAAACTAAACAGACCAAAAAATGACTAAACACATGACGCGCTACGACACAAATAGTCACCGGGCCACTCAGAGTCATATCCTCCTTGACTTGAAGGTTCCACTCAAATCTGTCGGTTGAGTTTAATAAAGGACTTGTTTTTCCCGCCATTCGCTGCATTACTGCGACACTTTGGAAAACACACTGGAGACAAAACGCACTTTTCAGGGCCTCACTGTTTGCTTGTTTGCTGGGCCAGATGTCTGTGGTACAGCTGTACAGTGTGGTGTCCATATGTGTATGATGCACTGTATCATGACTCAGTGTTTAGAAGAAAAAAGTCTGCGAAAAAATTGGTTGTTTCTGCTTATTTTCAAGTTATAAAAGGTCTTAATTTCTAAAAGACAGCAAAGTGGCTGAAATAATAAAGCTTTTACGACTAAAATCAATTTGTTTCATTATTCTTTAAAGAACTACGTGCAATTTTCTTTATTCTGGCTTCATACAAGTTGATTTATATTAAAAACAGGTTGAAGTCAGTTCAGTGCATTGTGGTTTCAGGTCACATTTGAAGACTAAAAAGACTTCCCAGCTCCAATAATGGACCAGATTGGGGATTCAAATATGAAAGAAACATTTGACCTGACAGATGATGGGGATGAGAGCTATTACATAACTTAATGAGTCCTAATTTTAGTATTCAGGGGAAGTTAATCTGTCATGGCTGTAAGTAGAGAGCAAATGCAACATTAACCCCACGATTGTTCTTTAAATACCCCTTGTGCTACTGACTGCTGTACGAAAGCCTGAGGACACATTTATTACTTGGATTAGTGTAATTCTCATCTCTTCTGTCCATATCCTGCACGGATAGTTTCACTTACATAAGAAGCAAATACATGCACACATGTCTCATCTGTCTGTAACATTCATCACTTCCTCCAACACTTTTAAAGGGGCTCATTCTGAGGCTCATATTTGTATTTTGTGACTAGTGAACTTTGGGATTTTAGCCTTTGCAGAACATTTACATGCACAAAAACATATATAACACACTACAGGCACATATTTCTATACATCATTTTCACTATCCGACTTCAGATACCAATAAGAAACAAAACATGGAGGAATTTCAGTAATTCGCTTCCGGGGAGGTTGATTGTTACCAATTATCTTTGGGTGTGAAAAACCTGTTTGTGATTACAGGTGAGATATTGTTACCCATAGATACTGTTGCCACTGTGACATCTGTCATCAGCGCACAATGACATTCCTCTGTCTGGTTCCTGAAGAACAGCACATCACCCGACAGGCATTTTAAAGTAAGTGTGTGTTAATCAATCCATAAATACAGGGGATATATAGTGTGTATGTTGGTATGTCCGACTTAAAGAGGCAGTCTGCTCCTGAGACGAAAAGGAAATCTCAGTTCTCTCATGAAAGGCCTGGTTCTGCTTTTTTAAGATATTGTCGTTTTTAACACCAATAGGTCTTAAAACAGGGTCTAGCATATAAGTTAAGTTCATTACAAATGTGCTTTCTTATATGCTTTCCATGCTGAATGTTGAGAACAACAAATACAAAAATGTTTAAAGGAAGTAGAATATATATTTCTATATTGTTATTTTGGATCCTCATTATCTACCAATAAGTTATATCTATACATCCTTGGGTCTAATCAAAACAACACATATAAAACAACACACATAACTTGCATACAAGTTTAAAAGAAAAATGTCAAGACAAAAGTCCATTAAAAAACAAAAAATCAAGTTGCATAACATCGTAGTTGTTCAGATGAATTATTATCCTTGGGTAGAGTCTTAAAACCTGGCGTATGGTGTTACGACAATCATTTTTGTAATTTGACCACTGTCACACTTTAACCCCCACTCAGATTTTTCTTTCAAAGTCTCTCTCTCTTGATTTCATATTTTCTTATCTACAGTAACACTCTCTTTCAACAAGGCTCTCTGTCCTCCTTCATCACTCAGTCAGCATTCCTCCCCGTCCGTCTGCTACGTGACACACAGTTACAAAGAGCCTGCAGGCGTCCTTTCACTCATCCATCAACATTACATTCAGAACAGCTTCTTGTTCTTTTACCCATGGGATGTTATCTTAAACTCTATATCAACTTGTATGTGTGTCTCTGCCAATTCATAGAATATTTGTGTATATCGTATGAAAGGAGGTTGGGAGTGGACGTATGTGTGACAGATGTGTGTGAGTGGTTAATGTCTGAGTATTTCCAAGGTCTTCAGTCAACATCTAACAGACAGAAAACAAATATATGTTTCTTCTACTGTATTATAGAAGACTTTGATGAAAAAACAAAGTCAGAGAAAACAAACAGGCTCCAGAGAAAAACAAACCTTCTTTTGAATGATTTGTCTCTCTGTCTCCATCTAAAGTATTACTCAAGCTAAAGCTGTATTTACCTCCTAAACAGCTAAGCCAAAAACATTTAAATCATAAGCTGCAGAAAAGAAGGAGGGAAACGGAGACTAAACTGAATTGGCTTAAACCGAGCGTTCACGTGTCTTCACACAAAGTTGGAAACCGGCCATCACACAGCCAGGAGCCTCGCTGGTTTGCGTTGGCCGACAGTATGACCGCAAGGAGGGAAATGTTGAAATCTAGTTGGGGTTTTTTCAGAAAAAAGCTGCCAACGCTCAGGCAGCACACACAAACATGCCGTGTGGGAGGGAAAGTGCTATCAGGGGAGTATTTATGAAAGAGATATTTAGGTATTTGTGGGAAGTGCTGGTATTTGTGCTGAAATGTGTGAGGGTGTTCAGTAACACATTTTCTTCTACTAAAACACACACTTAGCCCCGTGATTCTGTAGGAAATTCTTTGAATGTTTTCTCAATGAACCACAACCACCTCAGAGTACACACATTCACATTTATAAGATAAGCAAACCAGCCACCCACAGAGATAGTGTGCAACTCCAATACTGTAACTTTCCAGAAAGACCACATGTTTCAAAACGATTATGATGCTTTGTATGTCTTAGTGACAACATAATGGGCAGGGGGGCTTCCACTGTGGGCTTTGGCCGCAGCCGCTGCTGGAGAATTAAGTCATTTTTAGTTAGCCCTGCTTGCCAAGATATGATGGAGAATGAATGATGGAGGAAAGGTTGCTTCACTTTTGAGTTAACTTTAGTTCACAAAAATACAAAATAAGAATAAAAGACTATTTTAACTCCAGTTAAACACATCTCCTGGTAGCCTGGTCACAAACGCTAAGTTAGGTTTTATATTATTCTCATTTTGCGCCACTTCTGGGACATGTCTCCATGCTTTAATGTTCAAAAAGTGCTTTATTGTTCTCATGCTGTGCTGCAGCTTCTCTTTTCCCCCAAATGGGATACAACTTGATCATTTGTAATTTGTGTTGGGACCAGCAGTCAGATGTCTGGCCTTTGGACAGATTAAGGCTAGCTGTTCACCGTTGTTTCTTATGCTAAGCTAAACAACACATTGAGCGGTGATCATAATCTTTTGAAGCTCTATGAACGAAAGTGTAGATAAAAAATATCCAACTGAAGAACTTCTTGAATACACCGAGGTGCTACAGGTGTGTGTGTGGGTAACTGTGTGTGTGTGTGTATTTGTGTGTTAGAGAGGCTTGCTGAGACCGTGTGTAAACTGAGGAATTTAACATTTCAATGGAATAGAAGCAAGCTGCCTCAGCATGAGTGTGTACTTAGCGTGGTGTGTGTGTGTGTGTGTGTGTGTGTGTGTGTGTGTGTGTGTGTGTGTGTGTGTGTGTGTGTGTGTGTGTGTGTGTGTGTGTGTGTGTGTGTGTGTGTGTGTGTGAGACCAGACACACAAGAGTTTGACAGGCAGGCAAGATATTGAGACAGGTATACCGTGTGTGCACACGTACGTATTCACACGCACACACAATCTGTCAGCCTGAAAGCTGTGTGTCAGCACCGTGAATCTGAGCGCTGACCTCCACGCAGGAGCTGACCCACTAACACACAGCTGTAACACACACACACACACATTCAACACATCACACACACACACACACACTCAGTCACGTTCACATGTCATCGCTGAACGATCACTCCTGAGCTAGAATCCCACATTCTTTAACTCTGCTGAGCTTAAAATCACTGGGATTAGAGCAAGACTTGACAGGAAAAAGGAAAAGCTTAACAGTTTAATGCTGACTTACTCCCAAGAACAGGGAAATGTGTGTAACTAGTTTATCACTTAGAGGATTACGTCGCCATTAAAGGGTTAGTTCTTCCAATTTACGAGAAAACATGCTTTCTGCGTACCTCTGGTGGTAACCATGCAGATAGCTTTAAATTCTAATTGTATTTATATAGCCTAATATCACATATTACACATTTCTCAGGGTGCTTTGCAGTTTGTACAGCATGCAATAATGTCTGACCTTAGCAGAGGGGGTAGAAGTACTCAGATCTTGTACTTAAGTACGTAGAAGTACCAGAGTGTAGGAATACTGTGTCACAAGTAAAAGTCCTGCATTCATAATGTTACTCAAGTAAAGGTATTACCATCAAAATATACTGAAAGTACCAAAAGTAAAAGTACTCGTTCTGCAGATTGTGTGTGTGTGTGTGTGTGTGTGTGTGTGTGTGTGTGTGTGTGTGTGTGTGTGTGTGTGTGTGTGTGTGTGTGTGTGTGTGTGTGTGTGTTCCTCTTCACCTTTTTGGTGCCCTCCCCCTCCATCTCGGGGGTGCTCGGCGCTGGAGCCCCAAGCATGCTGGGAGCGATGCAGACGGACAGGTTGAAGGCGTTCATCTGGTTGTCGTGGGCGTTGCCTTGGATACAGTGCAGCACGGCGATCACATGACGCAGCAGCAGCAGGTTGTCGCTGGGCAGGAGCTGCAGCAACCTTAAGGGGAGAAGGAAAGGAAAGGAAGTAAGGACAGAAAGTAAGGAGACAAGGTTAAGATGGTACGAGATGTAATACATGGGAATGTAATGACTTGAGCGGTCCTCAAGCACTTCTTGTTCTCACTGTGTGTGTGTGTGTGTGTGTGCGTGCGTGCGTGCGTGCGTGCGTGCGTGTGTGTGTGTGTGTTGGTGTTGGCTGATCTCCACAGGAATTTCTCCACAAACATTTTCAAAGTTGCTTTAATGTTACTTGTTTTTTGTTTTCCTAAGCAAAAGGAATGCAGTTTGTTACATCTGGAACTGACTTGTCCTCTTTCCCTGTCTTTCTTTTCCCCTCTAGAAAAAGCAGTGTGTAATTGAAAGGAAAAGCCACATTTATTCATTTAACTTGTCACAAATAACGCACGTCTGTATGACTTGTTGTGTCCGTTTGTGCTCGACATAAAACACACAGTATTATTTTGTGTATTAAACTTTGAATAAGCATCCGAATGTGCATCCAGGAGAGATCTTACCTTTGGACAGCTTGCGTCCTCTCCTCTCCCGCCTCCCCCTCCATCACATCCATCCACTGCTCGTACAGATCCACACACAGCAGGCTGCCCGGGATGTTTCTCAGGAAGTCCTGGATGCAAACATAAAAAGAGATTTTGAGATCAATTATCAAGAACTGAGGTAATCACTTAGTCTTGCATCTTTACATGTGAACATTACATATAGAAAAACCTGCATACTGCTGGTTTATCTCCTCCTTAATTCATGCCACAATCAGAGCAACCTTCCTTAAGTACATGAACACAAGTTCAGATGTACCTAAAGCAATGTTAAATCTATGTTTTAAGTGCCACAGAAATTAGGCCATCTGGTCCATAAGCACCTTGAGGAATTCACAGAAATAGCCATCAAGGCTATAAGGTCAGAAAGGGAAGAAAGCATGCTGTCAAAAGCATAGAAAATGGAAACTCGGGCAAAAATATAGTTCATCCTGAGGGTATGACTCAAAAAAGGTTCATATATATTCAAATATTTTCCTTTCAGGAACTCTGTTTAACCTAATCCTATTGTTGATATATTTATTTTCAATTACATTTGTATTCTTATTACCTCATAATTACCTGTCCTATCCTATATTTCACTCTCATACAGTAGCTGTAGTTGCTTTGACACCTGAATTTCCCTGCAGGGATTAATAAAGTGTTATCTTACCTTGTCTAAATACCGTTAGTAATTGAGAACACGTATCCAGTTTCCTGGGGTTTTACTTGAGACATAACTTTAAGAATTTAGTTTTTGGCATCAGGAAATGTCCTTTCAATGCACTAATTGTTTAACAAAGGACAATCCGTGTCCAGGTGAAGTCCAGCAGGGCAGTGACATGAATCAGCGCTGTGTTAAAGCCCATGCTGTGTGTGTGTGTGCGTGTGTGTGTGTGTGTGTGTGTGTGCGTGCGTGCGTGCGTGCGTGCGTGCGTGCGTGCGTGTGGATGCTCAACAATGTGGCACCTTGTGTGTTGGCCTGGCAGCTCTGCAGAGACAGATTATCCTGTCTGGACTTCGGTGACTTTGGACGCACATCAGTCGCTCCTCCTGCTCTCTGTTGTCTACTTTCAAACCAGTGTGACGTGGCAGTGTTTGTGTGTGTGTGTGTGTGTGTGTGTGTGTGTGTGTGTGTGTGTGTGTGTGTGTGTGTGTGTGTGTGTGTGTGTGTGTGTTACCTTGAGGACAGCAGCGATGACGAACACAGACTGGTGTGTGATCTCGGGGTCTTCGCTCCCACTGTCCACTCGGTCCCTCAGCTCCCGGCAGGCTTTGGCCCCGGCGGACCTCCTGAAGATGCCCCGTGTGTACGGCCCCTCCAGGAACAGGAACACCAACATGTCCTGCAGGGATCACATCATCCTTTTAGTAATGTTCTGAATATTTTCTAACAAGACAGAGAAATGAGCAGGTCTACATAGCCCTTAACTCAAAAGCTTGAGCGAGCAACTCTCAGAGCACAAATGCTCTTTGCTCCTAACACCATGTAATGCTTAAGGGCTTATTTGCTCAGAAAGTCCAGCAATGTTTTAAACCAAAGGACATTAAAGGATTTACGGACTAAGTGAATTTATCTTTTTAGACCCTGCTGTTTGTTTTTACATTTTTGATTTCCTAGAATCAGATTTTCTTTTGCAAATAAAAAGAATCTTAATTCATTTCTGCCACATCAAATTGGTTTTATCAGAGCATTATTACTGGAGACATGAGCGTGCGATTTGTTGTGTTTACTTGCAAGAATCAGAGGAATATGTAAAGTATTGTGGAACAAGGAGCCAATTACCAAGTCAGAAACTAAATAGCAATGTAGAGTCAGTGAGGTCCTTTCTAAAAGGTTTCACCACATGATCAGAGAGGAAACTTTTTTTGTTGAGTTTAGAAAATGGATTGCTTATTCAACAGATTGGGATTTCACTTCTCATGCAACCCAAGTTTGTCAATTATTTCTTTAATTTAAGGGGTCATTACCAACAAAACAGTAATCTAGCAATTACATAAAGTAGTGAAAGCAAACCCTCTTCTTGTCCATATGACTAGATAGAGGTGGGAAATAACTAAGTGCATTTACTCAAATACGCTACATTTATTTTGTACCTAGCAGATTTGTATTAATAATTTAAAATATAATCAAGTCTTAAATCAGACTTTAGTTCCACCTGGAGTAAATCCACCAGCTACCCTGCAGTATACAAAGTCATTCAAACTAGCTGCACCTTTACCAGCTTTGAGAACACTTTCATGATCAATCATTATAAAACATATCATATATATTATTCTGAAATGGACCAATCGGCACAATGACTACTTTTACTTTAACTTTATTTTGATGCTAATACTTTTACTTGAGTAACATTTTGAATGCAGGACTTTTCCTTGTAACAGAGTATTCCTACACTCTGGTACTTCTACTTTTACTTAAGTACAATAACTGAGTACTTCTTCCACCTCTGCTAAGGACAGACAGTATGATATGCTGTACACACTGCAAAGCACACTGAGAAAATGTCTAATGTGCGATATTGAATTTGAAGCTATCTTGGGAGACCTAACCCTTTAATGGTGACGTAATCCTCTACTGTAAGTGATCAAATATTTACACACATTTTCCTGACTGCTTGGGAGTAAGTCAACATGAAACTGTTAAGCTTTTCCTCTTTCCTGTCAACTTGTACTTGTAACACAATATTCCTACTCCCCGGTGCTTCTACTTTCACTCAAGTACAAGATCTGAGTACATCTCCCTTTCCCTAAATACACTCTGACCCCTCCAGATGGGACCCTGACCCCTCCCTCTGGCCTCACGTGACCCAGACTCGACTCACCATGACAGGCTTGGGCAGGCCGTGGTCTGAAGAGCAGACGGAGCTCAGCGGGCGCCCGAACAGACGACCCTGAGTTGGGGAGAGGGAGTTGGGGGAGAGGGGGAGGCCGTCCAGCTGCGTGTTGGAGCCTCTCCAGAAAGGCCAGTTGATCAGAGACCTCTTCCTCTTAAAGGTCTTCTGCTGACCAGGCTCTGTGGGGGGGGAGAAGAGGAAGAGGTGGTTTCAGACACCATCAGATTGCTGCTGCTTGAGTAACGCATGTGGAAGTCACCACGTCCGCTAATGCTCGGTGGTTACCAAACTGCAAATGTAAAGGTTTCGTTTTTAGAGAACTTGGGTTACGTATTTGAACAGAGTAGGTTAGGTTAGAGCAGGTGGTGAATTGTTTCGCAGTAAGACTAGGTGTCCCATATGTTAGACTTTTTCAGCATGCTCATGAATGCTTGGTCTGTCCACTCAACTTTGACCACATTTTCACACACTGAAAACACGTAGGTGGGATAGAGAAAGAAACCAATAAGACGGTGACAGAAAGACAGAGGAAGAAAGAACCATTGACTCAGAATTTGGGATAAACATAATGTAGCCATGCCCCTCCCTACCTAAGAGCACCATTTCATTTAAGGTGTGTGTGTGTGTGTGTGTGTGTGTGTGTGTGTGTGTGTGTGTGTGTGTGTGTGTGTGTGTGTGTGTGTGTGTGTGTGTGTGTGTGTGTGTGTGTGTTACACATTCATGCATGTATGGGGCTCTGTGTGTCCCTGCAGACTTGTGACTGTGTGTCACTTGTTAAACATTTGCTTAGCGGTGCTCCTAAGTCACACTGTCTACCTGTGTCTGTTTGCTGGTCTGTCTGCGATGCATTTAAGGTGCATGTTCAGGAGAATGTGAAACAAACATCTACTGTTTGTCTTTATTTGAAAATGAAGCACGCAAACCTGTGTCAGCTTTATGGAACAGACTCTTTGAAGACACTAAACATCTGCAGACTTCAGTGTCTGAAATGTGATGATGGGGAAATGTCACCTTGAGCTAAATGTAAGTTTTATTGGCTAATTTTAACAATGTGATTCCTTCTGATATGACCTGACCTGTTATCAAACATACTGACACAACACTCACAGTTATGCAACAGACTAACCAACTTTGTGCTGTTTGCATCACTTTACTTTTTAGAGGAGTTTCATGTTTTCTTAATGCAAATTTTGCACAATTTGCATTTGTTTTGGCAATTTTTCGTTTTTACATTTGCTTCGTTTGTGAAGCTGCAGCGAGTTTCTCCTAATGGAAGTGTTTAATAGCCCGTTTGCACCTGTCGGCCGCCGTAGAAAAGTGATCGAATACACACATTGACAATCACAGTACTAATCTTGAATTATACTCTGAATTGAAACACGTCTGAACTACTGGTGAGGTCTGTAAGTTTGCACAGGCTGCAATAAATGTTAAAGAGCCGATGCAGTGACATTTGATTGCAACAACTTCAACACCAGAAGTCTTGACATAATTATATTAAGACTTGTATCCAAGGGTGGGATTCTGACAAGGATTCCTGCCGTGGGTGGAGGACCCAAAAGAGCGATCTAAATATGTGGCATTCTTCACAAAGAACTCATTATTTAACGATCTGTCGTGGCGCCGTACCCAAATACACTCGGGAACAAAGTTCAACAGTAACAGAATAACTGGGCTGCTCACAGCGGGCATCGCCATCATGGAAAGATAACCTGACCTAGCTGTAAAAACCAGGCGCTACATCATTACAGCTTTCCAATCAGGGAATAGTTTGAGGACGGAGGAAGTGGACTGCTTGTTGACATGGTGGCAATTCCATTATCCAAGAATCTCTTGATGTCTTTTTTTTATGGTTTTTGAAAGAATTGATCGACATTGTCACAAGGATGGAGATACCAGATCGGAATATTTGATGGACCTCTTTATTTTTTATTATTTCCTCCGCAAAAATAAACAAACTTCCCAGTTTTTCCACATTAACCTCCCATAGTGAATCACATCAACCTCCCATAGTGAATCACATCAACCTCCCATAATCAGCACATGATATGAAGACTTTTGGCTGCTGGAAATCTGACATTGTAGCAAATACAGTGAAAACATCTTGGACCTCTTCCTGCAGCAGAGTGGACACAATCTTACATTTCATTTCTTGCAATAAGTTTGTGAGTTGGAATGGATATAGAAATAAAATTGAACCAGCTGAAATGTGTCTATAGCACACATTCATGACTGTTATGTACCATATGATGTTTTATGCAGAGTTTATGCACATTATATTACTTGTTACTTGTTAGATGCTTTTATCCAAAGCTTACATACTCAATAGTGTGGGCAATCCCCACAGGAGCAATTTGGGGTGAAGTGTCTTGCCCAGGGACACAACGACATGCTGACTGCAGTGGGGTTTGAACCTGTGACCCCCTGATCCGAACACCAACACACAACCCACTGCACCACACACCTCCTTGTGCACGGAGGCTTTTGTCAAACTGTATTTGAGAATTATTGTTAACTGAAAAAGGGGTTACTACTTAATAGTTATATTGGCTAGCGCTCCAAGTCATTGCACTTGATACTCTAAGGGGCGGGACATCTCTAAGCGGTTGACCAATCACAACAGAGTCGGCCAGCTAACCAATCAGAGCAGACTGGGCTCTGGTTTCAGACAGAGGGTGAAAAGATACAGGCAGTATGAGAAAAATAAAGTGCTTTTTGAACATCAAAGCATGGAGACATGTCCAGTAGAGACACAAAATACAAATATGAACCCAAAAAGGAGCATAATATGTCTTCTTTAAAGACAAATGGGTCAATATAAGGGACATACTGTTTGCTCTGCCTCCAGTCAGTTATGGGTTTTTGGACATTTTTGGTCACAGCCGCGGAGGTAACTCAATTCAATGTCTGGCACACATGCAGTATGTTGAAGCTTACCAATCTTGGAGCAAATTGCAAAACAACATCTCCAAAGATTTATTTTACATTATTTTTGCAACATTCAAGGGATCATTTACTGCGGGTTATTTGAGAATAAATGGTCCTGCCATGGCTCCATCCCAACAAACACACACGTTGGTTGGCTCTCGGGACGGGTGTGAGCGATTAGGGCCTCTATGGTGGCAGGCTGGTATGGAGCGGTTGCGTAAGATGCTGTTATGCTTGAAGCAAAGGAATCTGAGGCGAAGCTTGTGGTTGGCAAACTGCAGCCTCCACACACTTTTTTCTCCTCGACTTGTTTTCCTCTAAAGCTCACCCCCTTTATTTCCACCCAGGTCCCCCGTTACTCATCCTAGTTCCTGTCCTCTTGTTTTTCTTTCACATTGTTCTGTACCTCTCGCCTTTGACGTCCCCTTTTCCATGTGTCCCTCTGTGAATTCTTCCCTGGTTATCTGTTACATTCTGCTGTTTCTTTTTCCTTCACCTCCGCTGGCCTTCAGACTTACTCAATAGCTGTGTCATCTCTTTTCACTTTCCATCTTCCTATTCTCACCCTCATCCATCTCTTCTGGGCTCTCTTCCCCTTTGTCTGTCTGATGTTTTTCTTGTTCTGACACTGTGTCTCTCCTAACCCCCGCTGTAACCCCTGCTCCGCTAACGTCTCCTTTCCCACCGTTCTCCTCGACTCCTTCTCTTCTTCCCAAACCGATTCATCCTCACAACAACAACACGACAGAAATGAGCACCAACAAAGTGAAATGTTTACGAAGGTCATAGAGAACTTTCTGTTCTGCATTAATACTTCTGTATCCTCATATGTCTTCTTGTGGTTTCAAACAGAACGGGTTCCTGGCACTGACCAACCACCTATTTGAGAACTTGACTGGCATGTTGATGACATTTTTTTTAAAAACACATACTGTCACAGTAGCTTTATGCCTAATTTGTTCCCACAGATTTTTAAACCGCAATTGCTGACATTTAAAAAAAAAAAAAAAAAGGACATATCCTGCTCATTTTCAGCTTCATATCAGTTTGTAGTACATCACTTCATATCAGTATGTAGTGGGACATGTCTCCAGGCTTTAATGTTCAAAAAGCTCTTTATTTGTCTCATACTGCCTGTGCCGCACACCTCTTTTCACCCTCTGTCTGAAACCAGAGCTCAGTCTGCTCTGATTGGTTAGCTGGCCGGCTCTGCTGTGATTGGTCAGACACTTAGAGATGTCCTGCCCTTCATCACGTACAATGTGTTGGCGCCTTTGCAGACCAATTGCATGCACAACAAACTATATAAAGGAAAGGGAAAACCCCAAAAAGCACAATAGGGCCTCTTCAGCACTTAATGACGACAGGAAGTTTCGTAATTCATTTTTTAGGAAGACAAAATGAAATGTCTTGTTATTCACATAAGACCACAAACCCAGCATGTAGGCTTCAGTATTCAAGGGTTTGGTTTTTGGTAAAAAAAAAAAAAATGTTAGGCCTTTTTTGCCTTGTTCAATTCTGGCATCTCACATGACGAATAAATATTCATCAGTTTCGTTTCGACTCTTTCTCCCTTTGATCGCGTCACTACAAGTTAAAATTGCTTTCAAAGCTGGAATACGTTACTGTTCATTTCCTGAAATACATTTCCTTTCTTTGGAAAAATGTCTCATGTTGCCTTGGGAAAACAGTCTGACCTCCAAAAGAGAACTGCAGTGTTGTTGCCATGCCGGCCTAAACGTCACTGTTTTTATTTTGTTGTTTACTTTATGTGTTTTGTTGTTGTTTTGTTTCAACCATTTTACTCTGTAGCACTTTGAGTTGTGTTTACAAAAAGGAAAAATGCGCTTATAAATTTAATGGATTATTATTATTGACCGTCCGTCTTACCTATAAGTGAAGTCTGTCCCGGGGTCACTTTGCTGTGTTTGAGGATGAACTGGCACTGGGTGTCGGGGGGGAGACACTGGTCCAACAGCAGAACGCCTGGAGAGTCTGTGGGAGTCGATGGATCCCTCCCTGCCCCCCCCACGCTGCTCCCCCCATCCCGAATGTGGCTCATCTTAATGCTGAAGGGAAACTCGTGGCCTGAAAGAGAGGGTCAGGGTCCGGGGGTTAGAGGGTCCGGTATGTGCATCAAGTCAAGGGAGAAAATATGTATAATATTAATGAAATAAGATGATTTATGGAAAATGTGCATATGTCTGAAGCATTAACGTGAGGTTAAGTAGATTTTAAATATTTAGAAACATTAATATTTCATTATTGTTATAGTTTACTTTTCTTTTTTTACATATGTTTTTTAGTAAGTCATATTTGAGTTATTATTATCATTGTTTTATTATTATTATTATTATGATTATTGATTGATGTCAGGTTAGCTTTTTACTTCAGCATTATTGTGATTTAAGACTTTTGTTGATGTTTTTGTGTTGTGTTTTTTTCCTGACTTTCAATGTGGAAAATTAAAAACAACAATGGTAACAAAAGGAAGAAAATATGATTTAATATTGTAGCAGAATTTGTTCCATGCAGAAAAGAATGAGTGGTCTGTTGTTGGGGAATTCAGTGGGAACTACAGAACAAAAGATATGGTTAAAAAAAAATCACGGAAATACCAATGTGTCACTAACTGCTGTGAAATGCTTCCGGATGTTCAGTTGTTGGTGGACTGCTGATGCTGTAGTAACCCCCGCTGTGTGTAATCTCTACATTAGTACTGACTGTTTTCTTAGCATCAACAGAAAGATGAGACAGGTTGTTTTTTGTTGAACTTTAATGAATTTGTAAAAGATGCATGCATGCAGATTTTAAAGAAATCAAAGTATTTTTATGAATCTTATCCAACACCACTGGAGGTGAAGCAGCTTAAGAGCATATTGAAAGAAAAATGGGTAAAGGGTAGAGAGAGAAGAGTATTTTTCTTCTGATTTGAAAGAAAGTGTTTTAAAGGGAATGTTTAAATAACAATATCTATGTCACGGGACTCACCAATGAGAGGGTACGGAGGCTCGTCCTTACTGGAGCTCACCCACAACCTGTGGTCTTTTTCGCAGCCCTAGCCCCAGAGAAGGAGAATCAGGATTAACAATATATAATGCTTACATTTCAATGAAATTACTTGTCTGTGTCTTTCCGGATTGTGTCAAGGTACCTACAGGAAGTACGTCTGATGTAAGGAAAACCACTAAAAATGCTTATATTACAAACAATCCGGATGTATTTGCAAATTGTAATTAATGAAAGGCTGAAATTGGTGACATTTTCCCCAAAAAACATGTGTTACAAACGGTTCTAAAACATTATAAGTCATGGGAAAAAGTCAAAATTCCATTACTTTGTTAACATGCTTCACGCTTTGTTAGGACAGTCTAAAATGAATACTTTCATCTATTAAACGTAGATGTTAAACAAAGCCTATTTTATGTCCATACTCGTACTGTGCTCAAAATTAATTTCTTTAAGGCAGTACAAAGAAAACATTCCTTCATCCAAACAAAGTTAAAAACAATTCCAAACCTTATTTCTACCGTGTCAAAATGAATAGCTCTTGTTGAGGCTACTTTAAATAACATCTAAGCGCAGTCACTTGTAATCCAGTTGAGCATCAGCAGCGGTCTTTACTCACCGAAATGCCAAACTGCAGCAGAGCCATGCGGATGACATCAGAGGTGCTGTCAGTGTGGCTGACCGCAAGCGTTTTGGCCTGTTGGAAAATGTTGTGGACACATTAGGGACATTTGTAGTTGGTTGTGCGTTACATGAATAGCAACACTGCCGATGATGTCATTAATTATCCACTTAATGTGGACTTGGAAAAAAATCACAAAGGAAAGAGAAAAAAGCTTACATATGCACAATTTCCAATATCCTTTGCAAAAATCTTCAGAGGGATGGTCTTGGGGTCGTCCTTCTCTTTTCCCTCAAGTATCCGACTGTAGGGAAACACAAAGAAAGAAGTAAATAACAGTGTTACATTGAATATAAAATCATGTGACCAAAATAGCACTGTTATATAGTTGGCAGACAGTTGGAGTTATAAATTAATCTAGCTGTAAAACTAATGTATGAATTCAGGTAAAATGTATTTATGAGAACTGTGTGTATTTTCATTTATGTGGAAATTGTTCTTTTTACATCATTTCTGTTCCATCCTAATCAAATCTTTTCTCCCCTTATGAAAAATGTGATTTACAAGCTGAACTACTGCACCAAAACAAAGCATTGCAGAGTCCAAACCAATTACCTTTTGATGAGTGCAAACCACTTGTCCTTGTGCTCTTCGGAGCTAAAGAGGATAACAGATAGGGATTAAAAAACATCATCAGCGGGAATCATGTAAAAAGCAACTGTCTGTTTTTCTCTGTTATGTAACTTCTCCTGGTTTGAACCGCAGACTTCACCCCGAGCTACGACTGGATTCTTTCTCATGCAAAATGTAATGTGCGTGAATGACTTTGAATGCATGTATGGCAAAGAGGAAGCTGCAAAGATATAGCCTAGAATAAATGAGTGTATATGTAGTGCATGTGCTTCAGACTAACTGCAGTCTGATTGATTGTCTTGTCTTTTGCACAAAAGGGTTTAGGGATTTTGCGTTGGCGTGTTCAGTTATCAGTTCCCTTTACGATGTAAACCTCAGAAAAAAGTGTACTCTTGTTTGAATTGACTCAGAGAGGCATCTTAGAAAATATGTTTAGTATGTCTGGCAAGAATAGTTGTCATGCAATGCCAGCAGACATAATAAACAAAGTTATATAAGAGGAAATTAAGTTGTCACTCTATTGTTGTGAAAAACACTGTGTAATCTTTACAATGTATCAATGTTTTTACTGGCTCCTATTCCCTTATATTACTTTAAAATCCTGTAACTTATTATAAACACATTTATACACAGATTTGTCACATTTTTCATGGGCGCAAACCCCATACTCAGCTCTGCTGCTCATCCCAAAAATGCATGTTCGTCACAGATGTGGCACCATTTGAAAGGTAAGAAAACAGGCTTTCCAACGGTATAAGATTTATTGCCAAGAAGCATTGTTACAACAAAGAAATAATCTACCAAACACAGATTTCCTTACTTTTTGTGTTACGTTTCTTTTACCTTGGACTTATTGAATGTATTTTATTTAGTTAGTACTTCATTTAATATGCTAGTCTACTCGTCTTTTTTCGCCTTGTATTTGCACTTTCCCTTTTACTGTTACAATGTTAATTTCCCCACTGTAGGTTACCGTAATTAAGATAGTATTCAACAATAGAAATAAAAGTTCTGGCATTTCAGTTTTTAACCTATTTTGTAGTATTGATGTGAAGGTGTGTACCTGAAGGAGGCCACACAGTTGCAGGTGGGCCAGCCCATGACGAAGCTCCTCTCTGGGTTGGTGCTTCCCTCACACACCTCCTCCAGGCAGCTGGCCGTCCACATCTCACACACTCGGACCTGGGCCTTCACTTTGAAGTGAGTGGAAGACCTGCAGATGACACAGTGTAATGCATCACATCATTATAATCAATAAATCTGTCTCAGTCTGAAAATATCTAGTGAAAATCACACCAAAAAAAACACAATTTCCCGTTTGAATCTTGACATTACATTACATTACATGTCACTTGTTAGACGCTTTTATCCAAAGTGACTTAAATACATTCAGTACTGAGGATAATCCCCACAGGAGCAATTTGGGGTGAAGTGTCTTCCCCAGGGACACAACGATATGCTGACTGCAGTGGGACTCAAACTTGCTATCCCCTGATTTAAAGTTCAGCGCACTAAGTTCAGCGCACTATCCCACTGAGCCACAGCCTCCCATCTCCCGATGACATCTCCATATGGTTTTAGTTTTTTTGTGACCAACATTCCAAAACCTTAAAGATATTCAATTTAATATTGTGACTTAAAAACAGACGAAGCAAAAACATCATCATCCTCACATTTAAGATGACACAACCAGTACAATTGTGTTGCTTTATAAATACTTAAAATCATTGATGAGTTATTAAAATTAATGTGGATTCATTATCTGTTGATCAACGCATGAATCAAATATTATATTTAGAAGACCTTTTTGCAAAAGAAATCCACAAAAGCTTTCCTTTTTAAAACATCCCATAAAAAACATCTTTATTTAGGGGTTCCACAAGGAACCCACTTGGATCCTCTAACTTTTAATTTTCTTCATGAATAATTCTTCCACAAGCCTCTAACATATGTCAGTCTTTCAAAAAAGCTTTACATGGAATAAAATTATTAAAAGATGCAGCTATTTCCAGCATTTTAATACAGGCATGCTCAGTAAAAGTGTATTTACACACCACTAGATCCCTGATTATAGAGGGACACAAGTACAAATGCTCACATGTGGCATTACAAACACACACTCTCCCTGCTATTACACAGATATAAAAAGGCACACAAACACACACATCAATTAACTTTTCCCTCTCGCAAACACACACACACACACACACACACACACACACACACACACACACACACACACACATTCCTCAAACTCACTCTGTGTTAAGCCACAATGTAATGGCCAATTATAGCGAATAGTCTCTGTGCTGCAGGGGTCAGCTCCACCCACTGTCACATGACTCCTAGGATTACTAAATAGATTTACTCAAGTACTGTACTTAAGTAAAACAAATTGGTACTTTACTTTACTGACTATTTCAATGTATTGCTACTTTGTACTTCTACCACAACTCAGGGGTTAATCGTGTACTTCTACTCGACTGAATATATTTAGTACCTTTAGTTACTTCACAGATTTGTATTAATGATGTGAAATATAATCAAGTGTTAAATCAGACTTTAGTTCCACCTGGAGTAAATTCACAAGCTACCCTGCAGTAGTGCAGTATACAAAGTCATTCAAACTAGCTGCACCTTTACCAGCTTTGAGAACATAACATATATATTATTCTGAAATGGACCAATCTGCACAATGATTACTTTTAGTATTTAAGTATATTTTGATGCTAATACTTTTCTACTTTTGATCGCAGGACCTTCACTTGTAACCCTGTATTCCTACACTTTGGTACTTTTACTTAAGTACAAGATCTGAGTAATTTGTCCACGTCTATGTGTGCGTAACTGCACAAAAGTGTGTGTTTGTGAACTCCAAAAACATAAATGTGCTATTTAAGGGTTTATTTTTGAACGTGTGTGTGTGTGTGTGTGTGTGTGTGTGTGTGTGTGTGTGTGTGTGTGTGTGTGTGTGTGTGTGTGTGTGTGGCAGTTTGTGGGTGGGTAGACCCATTCTGTAGGCCAGTGCGGCTTTGATCTGAGCCAGGCTTCATATGGATTTAATTGGCTTGGAAATAATTATATACTGGGGAGAAAATAAGGGAGGGAGAAGTTTAAGAAGCAGGGGAGTAAGGGAAGGAAACTTTAGGGGAAAGATAGGATAGAACTACATCCTCTACACATGTTTTGCCCATTTCTGTTAGAGACACAACTATGAAAGGTTGTTGCTTTGTTTTTCTAATTAGCTTCAGTCTGTTTTTTCCTGTTTATGTGTCTGCATTCCCTCTCACTCACACAACCACATAAACACACACTGCTTCATCCTCCAGCACAGAAGGAAACTTACTTTGCCTTGGCGACAAGCAGCGTGTCTGTGAAGAGGAAGAGGTGTCTCTCCTGGGTCTGCAGGCCCGTCTTCAGCTGCGTTTGAATATGACCCAAGAATAATCTGCGTGGACACTCAGCCAGGAAGGCCTGGACCAGGGGACAGGAATCCGGGCTGACTGGCGTCAAGCAGCTTTCCCTGGGGAGAGACAAAAGAAAGAAATGAACATGTGGCCTGGATGGGTTTAAAAGCGTGTCTCTAAGAACCTTTTGGATGTGGTTGGTTGAGTTCAAATTCAAGTCAGGTACATTTTATTTTTACTGGCAAATATTACAAGTCCCAAAGTTCCTTTTAACTGGGGCTTTACAGTGTATTCATTCATGCATGAGAGGAGAGAAACTTAAAACAAACTGGCACACAAGAGATACAGAGGGACAAGATGTGAGGCTTAATCTGGACGAAGATACAGATTAAAAACATCTGGAATGACGTACAGAGAGACAGAATGAGAAAGAGAGGAGAGACCTACGCCTCAAAAACTACTGAGTTTTATACAAGAGAGCTGCTTGCTAACCAGTGAATATGCATAAAATCAACAGACATGTTAGAAAAGGTAAGTAAACTAAATAAATTCCAGTTAATATTGAGGGAACGTATTATAAAGTGGCTGCAAGGCTAAGGTGTGACTTAATCCTGAATAACCTTAAACATCTTGTCTTGGCTTTATTCAGTCCAGTGTTTTTCCTGTCCTGTATTAGCACTCGGGGATTTTCCAATGTCCTCCACACTGTGGTAACACGATTCAGCAGCATGGAACAAAAAAAAGAGAAAACGAGGCCCATGTTGTGGTGAAGCAAACTTGGAAAAGGCTGTAAAAAGGCCAACAGGTCCGAATAGCTTGTGCAGCAAAATCCCACAGTCCATAAGTGGAATATTTACCTTGTTATTTCCTGTATTTACGTCACTGGTTCCTCACTGTTTGAACCACACATAATCAAGTAAATGTTTGACTTTCTGACCAGTAGTGCACTCATTTGACTGCAAATGTGTTATTATTTGCATGGAGCTGCACAAAGATGGCTCTGTGAATGTACACAGTCACAAAGAGCGGAGATTAAACTAGAGGAAGCTCTGTCGTGTGGCATCAACGGAATAAATGACAAAGTTAACTGCCATTTTATTTTTGAAATGAACTATTCATCCAAAAACATTGTCCGTCTTGTTTTTGATTTACTGTTGCATCATCCTTTTTGTTTTTCCCTCCTGAACTTTGGAGAAATACTTCCTTGTTTTTACTACAGACACACATATCTTAGATTTTTTGATTTAATTAAAATGGTCTATCTTGTTTCCTTGCTGCAACGTGTGCCGCTGATAGACAGATGAAAACAGAGGGGGAATTTGTGGAGGAAGAGGAAGTAGTTTGAGGGCTCCATCCTTTCCTGTTTACCCTTCACAAGCAGATAAAAGGTCCTTAAACACAACACACACATCATTTTTCTATCTCCGTCTCTACCTTCTGTTCCTTCTTCATGTACACAAACATCCACACACCCTTACTGCTCTCTCAGGAAGGTACACACCCGTTCCATAACATATTCTACTTTCCGTTTTACTTCTCTTACGCATGCACCTCCATAACACTGACAAGGACACACACAAGACTCTGAGTAACCCCATAACAAAGAATGCAGTCCAAGGCTTGGATCCCCTCATACATTGCAAGTGATTGGTTACGTAATTAATTAACGAAGAACAGAAGGCTATGCTGGAGTGCTTCCATTTCTGTCCCTCTTTGTGTGTCGTCCAAAAATAAATCCAAAAAAGGGGGTCTGAGAGAATTCAATTCAAAGAGATGAATGTAGCCACTTAGGCCTCGATGCTCGATGGGACACGTCGCCCTGCGGGAGTTTAAAACGTATTGGAAATGAGACAGAGACAGTTGAAGCAAAGAAAGATATGTCTGATTCCTTTTGTCAGCAATACTTAAGGACATGACGCCATGTGGCTTTAAAGCTTACAGTTGCAAAACAATCAGCTATTGTTCCACGAGGGAAGAAAATACTTCCCATGTGGTTTACTGGGAAACGATTTTACCCCACTTTGAAAACATTTACATAACTCATACACCATTTAACTGCAACAAATTAAGCTTTGCTTTCTTCGTCAGGGAGCAGAACAACAATGCAAACCTTCATGTTTGGTCACAATTCCTTCAGATTAGAGCCATACTGTGACATTCATCTGTATTTGACCCTTTATTCTTTGTCCAAATTTCTCCAAAAAAGTTAATAAAGCTTCAAATTAGTCATCTTTTTACTTATTTCTCCTCATAGCTTTGTGAAGCACCTTGAGATGACGTCTGTCTTTAAAGTGTGCTATATAAATCAAATGTATTATTATTATTATTATCTACATCAATGATATGTGACTCACCTACAGTAGTATCTGAGCTCAGCGTCCAGTGGCCCTCACACACACACACACACACACACACACACACACACACACACACACACACACACACACACACACACACACACATACCTGTAAATACACACCCTGAGGACAAAGTGAGAGTAACTACTCTCTCAAAGTCTTGCCAAATGCCTCTGCAGGACGATGGCACCGGGGTAAAGGACCACCCCAGAGGGACGTTTGGAGGATTCTGGGCTGCTTGATTAAGTTGCAGTGGGATTAACACAGTGCAAAATTCACATTGAAATGTTCCTATTGTCCATTCAAATCAGGGAAATGCTCCTGTCATAGGAGCCCACACTCGCACACACCAACACAAACGGTCCAACCTTCCTCTAAAGCCCCTTTCACATCTCTCTGCCCCCCATAAAAAGACAACATCTTCCGTATTCACACCACATACCCTCCCTCCTGAATGAGAGATTGACAGCTGAGCCGGCCGCCCTTTGAATCTGACGGACGAGCAGCTAATGGCTCCATTGTACATCATGTGATGTTGATAAATTGAGTCCTTAGCCAGCCCGCCGTACATGGCCACCTTTGTGGAGGCACGGCAGCTTGTGAGGAGAACTGTTGACTTTCTGAAACACAATGAGAGGCCGGTGTACAATGAGCCACACGACGACGCATACTAATGTCCCAGCGTGAATAATTAAACTGCAACGGACATGATTTGTATATAAAAGGTTGATTAGGAAGGGATCACAAAGTAGGGCAAGATGACACGTCTGTTTGATTTATACAGCCGGAAAACACAAATTGATGATGGGATGATATTTTGTTTTCAGATAAAGCCTGATGTTTTACTTGCATCTTCATTTGCAACATCAACAAGGACACATAGTTAACACAAGAAACAAGAGAAAACACCATTTACGTAACAACTTGTCCAAGACGGCTCTCTATCGTTTGACCCTAAATTAGAATACGGACTGGAGGAGTTAGAATATGAATACCATCAAAATGCAAAGCTACAGTCTCACACTATTATAATATACAACCAGGTATAAGCGGCATAGATTAGGTTTTTCGAAATGATGGCAAATGTAACAAAAGTAAGAACTATAAAAAAACATCCTAACATCCTCGACTGTCCTAATAAATCTCCAGCAGCCATCATGCCTGTTGCTGGAATCATATCGAAAGTGCTTGAATCATATCGAAAGTGCTTGAATCATATCGAAAGTGCTTGAATCATATCGAAAAGGATACGTAAAGTCATGGACACAAACATGATCGTCACACACACACACACACATACCTGTAAATACACATTCTGAGGACAACAGCTGGAAAAACAGCTGCAACTTTCTCATCTCCTCTCCGTCCATGATTTTTTTTTTTTTTTTTTGCCGACATGACCGTAACACTTTCATCTCTCAACACACTTTCTCTCATTTTCTTCTTCTGCTTTTTGGATTAATGAAAGCCCTTGTGATTATAATTAGGAACCAATATTTTTACTAAACTGTTAACGCCACCTCAGCAGTGAAATGTTCAATACTGATCGAGCACACTGACTCCCTTAGGGCAGCATTGACTCGATTACATAAGTGTCCATCTGCTCTGCTTTTGAACAACACAGAGAAGGACTCTGGTCTGTATGTGGTTTGTTTATTTGTGTTTTAGTATTTGTTTACTCAGTTTGTCTGCGAGTGATTGTCCTCTAATAGAAAATCTGACTCCAAGACCGCACATTTTACGTTTATTTTCAATCAAAGTCAGACTAAGAGGTGTTCATCTTGTTCCTTAGGTAAACTCTGACTGGGTTAAATCGCCGTAAAAGAGGCGAGTCAGAGATGTGACAGTGATTTACTAAAGATGTGTGTGTTTAAAAGTGTGTGTCCATTTGTAGGAAGAGAAAGTGAGGAGATGTGTCTATTCTGTTTGCGAGTCCCCCGGTGAACTTGGACATGTTTGTTTCTTCATGAGGAGGTTTGCATTAGTAGGTTGACCTCTTTCTGTCTGTGAGGTAAAAGCTTTCCTGACAAGCATCTATTGACAGTGCAGTGTGTGTGTGTGTGTGTGTGTGTGTGTGTGTGTGTGTGTGTGTGTGTGTGTGTGTGTGTGTGTGTGTGTGTGTGTGTGTGTGTGTGTGTGTGTGTGTGTGTGTTTAATCATACCTGGATGTGCTTCTGGATCTGGTAAGTGCTTTGCTGATGACCAGCGAGGGAGCCGACTGTCGTCTCTGGGCCAAAGTCTTCATCTTCTGCACAGACAGAGGAAAAAGAGGAAGAGAAGAAGTGTTAATGCAAGTGGTGACGGGTTTGCAGAACATAATGGTTTGCATTGCATGATAAAGATACAATCGCATGGTTGCAATGCACACATTCAGCACTGGTTGAAGCTGGTTGTTTGCTGTGGTCAATGCAGGAAATACAAGAAAGGGAAATAGACAAAACTTCAGGTCATGTGCGTCTCTTTTCGTGTGTGTGCGAGAGACTTTTAAAGAAAGGGAAGGAAGGTGACTGAAAGAAAAGGGAAGTGGCAGCGGTGAAGAAGGAAAAGAGGAAAAGAGGAAGTGAGAGATGGTTAAAGATAAAGAGAAAGAGAAATATGTCGTCTCGCTGGTGCACAATGCCCTCACATATTCTCACTGTAACATGATGAAGTGTAGGCTCACAGAAGAATGACAGGCTTCCCTGCAGCCACCACAGACATTTGAATTCAACTTAATCTATTTACAACAAACCCATGTGAGTGCAGAGCAAACAGTACATTCATTCAATCTGGGGAAATAAATCTGATGTAGCTGCATACATTGAATAAAACTCTGCTTCCTGGAATCATCCTGCACTGACTTATGGGTAACATTCCTCCACTGTAGAAGTGTTGAAGGAAGAATTTGACTCGTGTTAGTCATTCAGGCCAAAGACACTACAGTGCAGTGTAATATATAACATAATGTGCATTAGGGGGGTGCTTGGGGTGAATACAAATGCTTTTACTTCACACCAAACATACTGGTTTTAAAATATGTAATGCAAAGTGTCCTTTAATGAGCTGCTGAAAGCTATTTAATTACATTTTCGGTCAGTTTAATGGGCTTTTGGTTTGTGGAAGATATTCTTGTTGCAATTAAAGTGAGATTTTCATTATTTTCTTACAGGAAATGTATCAAGAACAGTGCAAACTCAGCACATTCCCAAAATAATTGACTTAAATGCAACACGGCACCCATAAGATGACATGCTTGTTTTCCCTTCAGGTGTTGAGGACATGTGAGCAGTGACATGAAAACACTTGCACTTGGCATGACGGGACAACAATACGCTTTCTTGTAAAATATACAATAACAAACCTTTCCGGATTAAATTATGCTGACCGTGTGCAGAAAACCAAATAGGAAGCATGCACTGTAGGCAGTAACAATGTTATCATGTTAGCCTACTCTGCAGGATAAACACTGATTAACACATATGCATGTTCCTGCATGTCAACTTAACGTTCAACTTCTGACACAAACATCTCAAAACAAACAGCTCCTGAGTGATGAGGCATGTGGAAATGTTGGATTTATGCAGTGTTTTTCAGCCAGTGATGAAAAAACAAACTTGTGTTTTTTCTGCTCAGCCTGACAGCTCATTTCTCACAACTTTCCAAACAAGGCCAAGGTGCAACAACTGCTCTTAAAAATGAACTACAGTAAAATTTGTTTTGGATTCCCGAGACTACGTTTTACTAACTGCAAGTCCCTGGCTGGGATGTGGTGAAACATTCACAGAAACATTACGAAAACACTGGTCTGTTGCCAAAAAGTGATGTAGTGTGTTGATTCAATTGGAGTAACACTTTAACACTGCTTGGAATCACTTGCACATTGACTGCTAACAATCATGCATTGATCTGGATGGTAGTGTGAGTTTATACAGGGAATACATCTGGGTTGGTCATTAAAACTGCATTACTCTGCACAGCCCTCTTTTTTATATACAGTTTAAGGCTAGTAAAGGGTATTTTAGGCAAGGCAAACTCTAGAAATGTGAGGATATCACTAGTTTTGTCTGTGCTGGTTATGATGAAAGTCAAAGCTTACTTGTTATTTCGAAATTGGACCAATAAATGGACAATTTTAGCAACTATATGGCTAAATATTCTCCCCTTGCTGCTCAAATCCTGCCTGCTTAAAGCTGCAGTTACACTTACTAAACACACACTGGAAGGGGGCGCTGTTTACTACAATTTAACTGCCCTTCTGCTGGAGAATCATCTCCTTTATCTACGAGCGCTTATCAGTGGCGATGACCAAGACTCGGGATAGAAAGCTACAATAAATAACAATGTGGACGGTGTTTACAGGAAAGACAAAGATTACATTGTTTGTTTTTTTGTTCAAAGTAATGAAAAGTGACTTACAATAAGCCAGGTCTGATGGATCCACAGTGCAGGAATAATTCCTCTGAGTTTGCACGGAGACTCCTCTGTCTGATTAACAAATAATCTCTATCAGCACATTATCCTGCTCTGTTATTTAGCCACGTTTCGGCTCCTGTACTCAGTCTGGTTTAGTCAGGAGGATAACAAAAACAAATTGAGGACAAATAAATCCGATTTTGAGATTTGGATTTGGGCGTTTTTCTTGGTTAAAAGTTGTTTAAAAAGCCAGGATTTGGTCCATTGTAATAAAGTATCAAAAGCATTAGCGGTCTAGATTTTGATATATTTTAGGAAATATAGCCTTCTCTTCCACGTGCCCAGCTTGTTTGTGGTATATGGAAACGAAACAGATAGCGATATTCATCAAATAAATCAAACACACTGAGTAGAAAGGTCTGATAAAAACAAACATGAAAGGCATGTTTCAAATAAAAGCATGGCACATTGACACCACTATCAACTTCATCATTAAACAGTCCCAAAGCAGGCCACAACAAAAAATGCAGATTTGCAAGAAAATCAAGGAAAAGTGTTAATTTGCAAGGATTAATATAAAGCAATGCCGCAGAAAACTGAGATGTTATAGAAACACATCTTCTCTGTCTATGAAATGTTGAAAAAATACGCAACATTGAATGACACACCATACTGAGGAGTTCATTCAGGAATATTATAGGACTGTAATACTGAAAAATACCAGTTTGATTTCTCTTATATTGCAATAAGAATATACTCATGTATCCTTAATAAGCGCACCGGGCAACACAGTGCGCAAAAACGCAAAACGTGTCCACATTCAGCCAACCTTCCGCTCCTAAAGCCCCGCAGAGGAGCGTCTCTTTGTACCTTTTTGCTGTCGGGAAGAGCCTTGCCCCCTCCCGTCAGAGAGTCGGACCTGTTCTGTCCCATGGTCCCCTGCTGCGGGGACATGCTTTCCATCAAGACTATAGACATCCACGGGACCGAGCGCGCAGACAGTATATTCCCATGATACGAATGTAGGTCCAAAGGTTTATCCAGCAAAGAGAAGAGTACGAGCCCAAAGAGTATCCATGATGGATAGGAGGTGAATGGTTTCTGTTTCTGCTCCTCGGTGTGTTTCTCTGTGTGTTTCTGTCTGAGCGCAGTTTGCTCTGAGCGCACAGACTCCAGTCCGCCTCAACTCACTCTGATGTTGTGAAGTCAGCGTGGACTAAAACAAGCGACTTCCGGTTTTGCTTCCAAAGTAAAACTGTGTTTAATTAAAATACCGGACAAGACAGAAGCGATTTGACATGTTAGTAGCCTAGTGCTCGTTAAAATGTTTAAAAAAAGATGTTACAATGTTACATTCAAGCCCTAAACTGAAAATGCCCAAAACTGGAGCAAAACCAGTAACTTCCTATGTACCCAAAGGCCTTAAGCGGTTCTAGACCAATTTGACAGGGGGGGCCAGGCTGGGCTAGTTATTTTCCGAGGGGGCCACAATAAATGCAGGACGAAAAAGACAAAGACAGTATGAAGTAATTGCGCATAAGAAAACAATGCAATACAGTTATTGGTATTTGTTTCAGTACACATATTTATTTCAGATACTTATAGCCTAGTTACAGTTTTTACGCTCTAATGGGTCCGACTAGAATGACAATTAGCGTTAGTTCCGTCTATTCCGTCAGCCATTCTCAGGGGGGCCACAGGGGGGTCCAACGTCAGTGTTGGGGGGCACTGGCCCAAAAGCAGATGCAGTAGGCTACATGATACCTTTGTAGTGAATATTGACCATTAATAAACAGCTGCTGTCGCGTTTCTTCGCGGTCAGCTGTTATTAAACACTCTTCCCCTTCGTTACAAACAAAACCAGTGATCTGCAGGTTCACAGGTGATGTTAATTACAGGGTGACGTAATCACACTCACGTGCCCACGGCAGTAATATAGTAACCCAAACACATCCATTGCCCCCACAATAACACCAATATCTCGTTTTAAGAGATGCATTGGCTTAGTTTATCTTTGTGCTAGTGTAATGTGATTTTTCTACGTCCAGGCTGATGGAAGTAGGCAACTGGAGGTAAAACAAAAACAACTATATGCAATTATTTTTCCAAAGATCAATACAATTAAAGAAGCAAATAAATGTAATAAAATCTCCTCAAGGTTGTTTTATCTAAGACCCTGAGTATTGATTTTTGCATGATCTGTACACTCGTCACTTTTATTTTGAAGGCATGGCTAACTTCTGGTCACTTCCTGAACTGATCCTCACTCTTGACACAGCTCATGTATCTGAAAGCATGCTTTGGTTTAACTCCTGAGCTTGTCTATGTATTTACAAGTGTGAGTTTTTATTTGAAGGGCCCATCACATGTTTTCCATGTGTGGCAGTCGGTGCTATAGAAGCTGTCTGTTCTCCTGCGGTCTGCAGAGGGTCGGCCAGGTGTGAGAATGCACTTCCAGAGCCAAGAATAACATCACTGATGAGGAGGAATGCACTCAGTATTTTTTTTCTGCATAGGCATGACGCATGACTCATTTTCTTTATAGCTGGAGCTACAGTATACGTTACTGTAGGAAAACATCCAGAGAGGGGGGGAGTGTTGACTTCTAAAAATCTCAAGGCAAGGAGTGAACATACCTCCATCAAAGCTGAAGTTCAACGGATTTTTTCACCATGCAAACAGAACATTAGCATTTGGGGGTTCACACAATTCAAATGTTATATAGATACCTGAAGGGTTTCTTTGTAAATCCATTTAGGTTTTACAGCTGTAATCGATTAAGTTAATAATAGTCAGACTGAGCAGCTTGCGTTGTTGTTATGTTAAAAAAATATTGCAAAAGAAAAGCTCTTTAGCTCCAATATTAAATGACCGAACAGAATAGCGTTTGGGATTACATCTTTGTTTCTTCTGGTTTCACATAATTAAAATATTCTAGATACCTGAAGGGAAATAACTATTACAAATTAACGGTTTCTTTGTAAATCCATTTGAGTTCTTCCAAAAAAGTGAAATCTTGTTTGAAGACATATATAGGCATATTTCGGCTGTTTGTCTGCTTTAAAATCTGTTTTAAATCCTTAAATAAAGTATTAACCTGACAGGATTATTTCCCACTGCAGCCTTTTTTGTATGCCAGTATCTCCTGTGCACAAACACAAAGGTATGCAGCAATTGTTCCATCTTATCTATCTCCAGAAAAGTGGCATGCATAGGATGATAAGAGCATTGATAAAGCTCGACTATCCCCTTTGATCATGAAACAACAGCCGAGAGGACTACTGTCTGTTTCTGTCTGTTTCAAAAAGTTGATGCACAGACAGCTGCATTCTTTCTCTCTGCTAATCATCCTGTCATCAAGGGCCCAGCGTGGCCAAGTCACATTTGTTCTTGAACTTCAAATGCACTTTTAGGGGTTAAATGACTTGTTTTGTTTCCAACTTTTTGTCAAGAGTAGCCCGTCTGGAGGGATCCAAAGCAAAACAAAAAATTGAGGGTGTGTCAGAAATGTGGTTGGAAACGCCGCTGGTCGACCACGACTCGGCACTGTTTTGTTTCTACCTCCTCTTTGTTTCCACGCTGGAAGATGCGAGACTAAAAAGTGTGTCTCGGAGTGTGTCTTTCTCTCAGTATCCATGGCAAAAAAGCAACACATGATTGAAAAACACACACTTTATTCAGCCCGAAAAACCCCTAAGTGGGTCACACACATCGCTTTCAGACGGAAGCCAAACGCTCACAGATTCCCCTCATGTCTGACTGAGCTTGGCAGAGTGGTCAGGGAGGAATGGGGTTCTCCCCTCGGATGAAAGACAGAGAATCAACATGTGTCCTTGTGAACGTCATCTGACATTTACTTTAAAAGTGTGTCTGAAAGGGAATGTCACGCCTGGAGAATCAGGGAGTTGAAAACGTGAAGCAAAGGAGAGTATGGAAGTCGATTGCGAGAGAAAATGACCTGGGGAGAGATCTGTTGTTGCTAGTTTGGTTTTTAATTATTATGTTTTGAATGCCATGTGAAGCACTTTTACAGTAAATGCCTCTGTGTCTTAAGATGTGCACTTTGAGCAGTTTCTAACCCATGATGGAGTGGAGCAGGGGAAAGAAGCTTTGACCTACGGTATATTCCTTACTCAAAATTAGACGGTTACTCAATCACACTTGGTAATACTTAACATACTTTTACAGTAACATAACAAAAACATAACAATCTATCATAAAGCAAGTTATGCAAACTGATGCCTTAAGCACATCATCGGAATTTAAGACGAACAATTGCTGTATATTTTTTCTGGTAATACTTTTGTTTTTCCTCTGTACACAACTTTAAAAAATCTTCACATTTCATTTCATTTCAAACCTTTATTTATCCAGGTGTATCCCATTGAGATCATTGATCTCTTTTTCAAGGGAGACCTGCTCAAGTAGGTTCCACATGAAACATAAAAACACAAACAGAACAACAAAAAGGACATCATACAGCATCATTACAGGGATTACAATTTACATAATTATCCACATGAGCAGGTACCAACAGCTTCCGATTGAGTAGCATCCAACCAAGCTTTAAAAACATTTAGTGGCACCAGATTGCTCAGTTTCCATTTCAATTGCAGACTATTCCAAGACAGTGGAAGTGCATCTACAGTAAATGCTATCTTCCCTAACACAGTCTTAGCAGTTGGATCATTTAATAAAACCACAGCATGCGATCTCAGTTAGTAGCCACTTACATTTTAAGCCCTGAATCAATAGAGTATATTTGCTTGTTCTATACATGTGCATAATGAATATTCCTCAGTGCCTAAATGAGATTTCAATGTTAATTTATCATCCATTATAACAGCAATCTAAATTCAGACACTCTTTCTATGCCCACACCATCTACACAAGATTAAAATACATGTTTCTTTTCTGCGTCTGGTTTGGGTTGCACTTTGCACTGTAAACACAAGGACAAATACACCTTTACACGCTTACACTATTCATAGCTGAATATCTATTTAAAGAGCACTCTACCCTTCCCTCTCCTTTGAAAACAAACACACATGTACAGGGAGTGTATGGCGAGGACATGAGGACATGATGAGTGGTTTTAGAAGCCTTTTTGCACAGAGGATGGATGTGTGACGGAAGACAGAGATTCTTCAGGCAGACGGGGAGTTGCTGTGACCCAAAACAGAATCCACAACCACTGTTTCTACTTTGAGAAGCCAGACTTCCACGTTGCCTGCCAAAAATAAAGACCCACTGCTTCCCTTTTTTCCCTGAACAGCAGAATCCAGAGGTTTCTGGGCGACAAATGTTTGAGGTCCGAGCCTTAAAATTCTGGGAAAAATTACGTGGTTTGCATGTTTCCGTTGCCTTCTGCTTTTGTGTCACTTACAGTCATTTTGTAGAGAAATACACAGCTCCAGAACACCGTAGAACTCTACTGGTGCGAATCACTTTTAACTGTATTCAATCTGATATGTCTGGTGTCTCTCCTCCCTTGTATTTCCCAAAAAATAGAACATCTCTGCAGAAATAAGACCTGAATAATATAGCAGTGATGGCCAATGAATATCCGAACATTCCCTCATTTGTCAAGACCTGTGTTGAGCACATTTCTTGAAAAATGTACTTTAACCTGTTAAGCACTGAGCCTGTTTATCAGGTCTCAGGCTTGAAAATGACATTTCCAGATCAAATGACCATGACTAAACTTCTAAAAGGGGGAAATTAATAATCTTTTTTCTCAAAGTAATGATAAACCTGTGAGTTGGATGTAAAAAAGTCAGAATCAATATAGATGTTTTTTATTTTAAAGAAAATTCAGATTGAACATAGTAAAAAACTGTAAATGATAGTGTCCGTCCAAAGATTCTTCTTTACTTATAGTGAAAACTTCCCTTGGTAAAGTAGACTAAAAGCTTTAGGAATCCAAAGTACCACATATAATAAGTACCCTGTATCAAGATTGATGCAAAACAAGTGACATTTGACCTTTTTAGAGAGGTTTAGCAAAACAAAACTCCACCTCTGAGGTGATTTGGGTGGAAATGGCCATTTTTATCGTTTCTCTGGAACCCATCGGTCGGTTTTGGTGATTGACATCTCTTTTTGACCGTTAGAGCCGATAGAATCGAAGGGGAATTTCCACATACACAC